TCCTTTGTACTTCTTTGCACCGCAGTATTCACATTTCTTGTCCATGTTGTCAATAACAACAGAGGGATACTTTTCATATTCTATATATAACATCATCCATAATCACCACTACATATAACACCACCAATCATCACTACATATAACATCATCCATCATCACTACATATAACACCATCGATCATCACTACATATAACACCACCCATCATCACTACATATAACAACATCCATCATCACTACATATAACATAATCCATCATCAATACATATAACACCACCCATCATCACTACATATAACAACATCCATCATCACCACATATAACATCATCCATCATCACTACATATAACACCATCCATCATCACTACATATAACATCATCATCCATCATCACTACATATAACACAATCCATCATCACTACATATAATACCATTCATCATCACTACAGATCGGTAAAGTAGTTTCCGAGATTCTCGTGCTGACACACACACAGACACAAACGCACAAACACACACGGTAGGACGCCACCTTCCGGGAGGCTCCACATTGTCTCACTGTGATGCATTAGGGTGAACCATTTTGGTTTTCATTAGGAATAAGTATGTACAGATTTTTGCCAGTTCCCACTCTGGAGCATCCAACATAGAACTGTCCACGAGAGAAGCAAGGAAACACCAGGTTTAGGCCAACCATCTTTCAACTCTGTTCCTGGCTTTTATAGATGGTCATGGCAAAGCTCACTTTAACCGGGAACTGAAGTCGCTTGAACTCAAATGGCAGGTCAGTGGTGATAAGAGGTATCCTTGGTATAAACACGTCCTCTCCTTCAGCTTTTCCTGTCAGTATTGTAGCTTCCAGTACATGTGGCATCTTGACAACCAGTCTTGTGCCATTGCAGAGGATTGGTGGTTCAAGGTTTAAAGGTCCCACGTCCTTGACCTTTGTTCTAAATACCTGGAAAAATCTCTTGGGATTCGCCTTGGATTCTCTTGCTATTCTGATTTCATAGTCTCTCGTTGCTTTCCTTACATATTTCTTAACATTCCTAGATAGTTCATTATACCTATTTCTGAGCTGCTCCTCCCCTCCCTTTAATTTCTTATAAATTCCTTTCTTTATTCCTATGTCATGTTTAAGTTTTATGGTCATCCACTTTGGCTCATTCTTATTTGACCTAATTTTTCTGTATGGTATATTTTGTTCTTGTGCTTTATGTAGTATACTAGTGAATATATTATAGTCATGCTCAATTGTTGTGTCATCTATGACCTCACCCCTTCCTACTGGGGACTGACGTGACTGTGCCCAGGTGACCTCACCTAGGTACCTTCTTAACCCCTGATAATCCGCCAACCGAAAGTTTTGGACTCTGACCATATTGTCATTGTTTTTTGTTTACCAATTTAGGGTGAACCTGATTTCTCTGTGATCACTGTTACCTAGTTCTTCCCCTACTGTGATATCTCTGATAATATTTTCTTTATTTGTTAATACTAGGTCTAATATATTGTCACCTCTAGTAGGTTCTGTAATTAGTTGTTTCAAAAAATTGTCCTGTACTGCGTCTAGGAAGTCTTCAGATTCATAGTCACCTACAATGTTGTCCTAGTCAATATTTCTGTAGTTGAAATCCCCCATAATGCACAGGTTGTTATATTTTGCTGCCCTACTCATTTCCTGCCATATGGGCTGAGCTGCTTCTTTCCCAAGACTTGGGGGCCTGTAAATCACTCCCATAATTAGTTTTTCTCTTCCTAACGTGATTTCTACCCATACAGACTCGGTTCCTATTTCACCCTTTATTGAATTATTAATACAACATTTTAATGTATCCTTGACGAAGAGTGCGACCCCCCCCCCCTTCCTATCTTTCCTGTCCTTGTGAAAAAGGTTGTACCCTTCTATGTGGTACTCTGATAAAAAGTTCTTGCTCGCCAGATTCATCCAAGTTTTGGTGATTGCTATGACGTCTACATTCTGGCTACATACAACTGCTCTCAGCAAGTCTATTTTATTTCTAACGCTCCTACGCTGTTTGTATAGCATACATTTAAACCTACCCTTCCCTGGTCCTGTTTTGTTCTTGTCCTGAGTAACCAATTTACCCCCAGTATCTGCTTTTTTTTACTTCCACTTACCCTAACCTCTCTCTACTGGCGAAACCCTCTTTGGAGTTATAATTTTACGCCCCAGGGATGTAGACAATGTCTTTACCGCCGCGCGAGACAAGTGTACTCTGTCACGACTGTACAGGTATTCGTTGCCATAGAATGGTTGCCACTTATCAATGAACGCCCAACCATTGCTTGCACAATGTTTTTCCAGTCGGCAATTTATAGCAATTGCCCTGGACAGCCATTCACCACAAACTCCTCTTCCAGGCAAGACACCACAGAGTATCGGAATCCACTCCCCCTATCTCTAACCTACCCAGCGCCTCCCTATACCTCTTGAAAAGTTCCTCACTTCTAACCTTTCCTATGCCGTTACTTCCCGCACTAAGACACACTACTGGCTTGGTACCCAAACCTAACAAAACCCTAACTATCCTTTCAGCTACATGCCCTATCCCAGTCCCAGGAAAACACACCCTAGGCCTACGTCTCCTATCTCTTGCAAAAAAAGTCCTATCTAAGAACTTCACCTGGTTGTCCCCAACTACCACGCCGTTACCACTGGGCAGGGTTTGAACAACTGCCCTTTTCTCTCCTTTGCCAGCCGTTCTGCCTCTTCCCTTCCTCGTCCTGCCTCTTCTCTTCCTCGCCAGCTTCCTCCAACACTTGGTAGGGGTTACTGTACTCCACACCCTAGCCAGCTTTCCTGAGTCTGACCCTAGTCCCCTTGGAGACAACCATTCTTCACGCCTGCTCCTCCTGACCCTCCTTCGCAGGTGTCCTGCTTGGCTGGACGCCTACCTGAAGGAGTTCATTCCTGAGGGCTTCGTTCTTCCCCTTTAAATCGTTTATCTCTCTTCTCAACTGCTATTGGATCGTCTTTCCTCACACACCGTCCCTTTTCCCCCACAACACAGCGGTCCATGGAGGCCATTTCCTAAGGTCACTAACACGAGCACTAAGGGGCACGTCCTTCTCCAAGCTAGGTCAGGTACCATCTGAACTAGGTCAGGTAGCGTCTGAACTAGGTCAGGTAGCGTCCGAGCTAGGTCAGCTAGCGTCTAGCGAGGTCAGGTATCGTCTGAGCTAGGTCACAGCCGCCCTTCATCTGTTTTACCCATTATATTACGGTGGCGTATAAAGGGGAGTAAGCACCATACACTTACTATATGCCAATAAAATTCATTTGCTGCGGAACCTTCTTTTATTAACATTTTTATAATACCCCAACTCTTATATTTGTCTGTAAATGTATACGGAAATTACAAAAGTTAGTGGAAAAGTTTCAAAAATTTATCCAGGAAAGGGTAAATCATAAATGCAAACAAAGAAAAATTACTGGAATAGGCAGGAAATGGAGATAATACTACGTTAAGTGTTAGCATAAATAAATATAAAATGAATGATTGAATTTATTTAAAATACAGTATCTAGAAGACGTTAACTCAGTAAATAGAACAATTATTTAAAATTTATCCAAAAAGTAGCAGAGGAAAGTAGTGTAACAGGTGCACTGAGGTATGTAGAGAGACCGAACTGTATCAAAAGAACCAAAGATGTATAAGTAGAGAGGAGTCGTAGATCCTTGTATATCACTTTGATTATGAAGAAAGAGAAGAAGCAAACATTCTTGAGAATAATGCGTTGAGTGATGATGACGCACCGCACATAACAGTATTTATTGTCTGGACAAAATGAGTATGTGTAAAGGCCTGGCCTGTTGGATATAAATCCTTTGCCAGCCTTATCAGGATCTTATCAAAGGAAAGTCAAGAACCATGGGTTTTCAAGGGGCAATAAACAACCGATAGAGAGGACATCTCTTTACTAAGAACCTATTCACCAAAATTTAACTCTGACACCCTCACTAGAGTCAAACAATTACTAAAACAAAACAGTCAATAAAACAAAGTACAGATATTTCCTACGGCTGCAGATGAATCTTCCTTCTAACCAGCACTGTTGAATATTCCGGTAACGTGGTGATCCGCTCTCAGGGGGAAGGTCCAGGGCAGTTTCATCACTTGGCGCCTCCATTGGTGGGCAATGTCTTGCCACCCAAGAGTCTCCAGGGCACGGACGGTGGACAGGGCGTGGAGGAAGTGGCGATCACGTGGCAGCCGTGGAAGTAGCTGGAGTAGGTGACCGGAGTTGACAGCCGAATAGTGAGAGACGGGGGAATCAGCCCACAAGCTCCAGGAACCTCAGATGAGTACACAACCAGAGTTGGAATAGAACAGCCGGGTAAAGTAACAGCTGCGGTGAAGGCTGGATCGTTTCTGCCAGGCGACGAGGCAGCAGCTGCCTTCTTACCTCCGTCTCCACCCCAACCCCCCCCCCCCCAATGTGGCTACGAACAAGCAAACGAGCGGCGTACAACCTACCCGCTCGTTACGTCCCTTACAGTATGCTAATTTAATGGCTGTTAAAAAGGCGAGTATAATTCAAAGGTGGATAATCAGAGGGAGTGGAAAAGACCTAAAAGTGGTGGGTGGAAGAATGGGGTGAATGATGAAATAGAAATGAGGGGGGGGAGGGCATAGTGACGTGGAGGGAACATTAACGGATCAGGGACCCTTGTTTTTTTCAATGGACATTTCAATATTTTTTCTAAGTTTTTTACAAATTAAAAAGAGGAACTCTTGGGGCTTAAGAACGTAAGATCAAGACTCCCCCCCCCCCCCATCTCCTGTGCACGTCACTAGAACACAGACACACTGTATTGGGAAGAATTGTGTGTGGCCTCACGTGGTTATTGAGAAATTTATGCTGCTGATAGGTGATAAAAAGCTTAAGTGAGCTGAAAGGATCGCGTGTACTATTTCGGGTATTTTTGCAATTATTCGATGATAATTGGATAAAACTACATATTTTTTCATCCTCAGAGTGAAATATTATCTGCGGCAGGAGAAGGATGGCGATCGAAGTCTTATTGGCCATGATTGCTGTACTACTACTTATGTGTCAAGACGAAACACGAAGTCTGACCTTACCATCAAGTTAGTATAAATCATATAAATACTTATAGATTAATTGATTCATGCAAAACCTGACCTAGCCTAACTTAACCTAACCTACTTTAGGTAGAATTTTTTTATATTATGATAGTAAACGAGGCCTTAAATGAAACAGAGCAAATTTTACCATATACCAATTCAATTATAACAATAAAAACAAGAAGTTATCCCTAACTATTTAAAGTAAAGCAGCAATTAATATATATATATATATATATATATATATATATATATATATATATATATATATATATATATATATATATATATATATATATATATATATATATATACAAGTATAAGACTGCTTTAGTATCCTGGTGGTACAGAGTAGCGTTCCAGGTCACAGTCATGGCCTCGTGGGCCGTGGGTTCGAATCCTGGCTGGGTGAAGTGTTGATTGTATGTAGAAGTCCGCATGTGCTTTATTGGGCTAATGAAATATATATATATATATATATATATATATATATATAACTTCAACCAATAGGCGTGTTACTTGTGTTTTGAAGCTTTGATGATGGAAAACGATTATTTCCGAAACGTTAGCGATTAAAAGAAGCCCACATGGTCAAGATGTTTGTGTTTACCCTGGTTCTCCTCTTCGTTATTATATATCTATATTATATATATATATATATATATATATATATATATATATATATATATATATATATATATATATATATATATATATATATATTGATAAAATCACACAGGGAAAAGGGAAACAATGGAGAACCTTAACTTTCGTCTTAATTCAAGACATCTTCAGAGGCAACTGAAATACAAAGAATGAGAGAGAGCTTATGTACACAGGGTGACCTTACAAAACATGAGGTCAGGCAAAAAACATCAACCACACAGCAAACATAAGAAGAGATTTTAAGAACAGGCGACATAACTAGTCATGTCACGTCAGGTAAAAAATATGCCGGCGGTACACAGGATGCCAAATCCACCGAACATTGCCAGTTAAAGTATTTGTAAAAGAGAGAGAGAGTGAAGCAACATACCATGTGTAAAATAAATGTTTGTATTTCTCGCTCTTGTAAGTATGTCGTCTGGTCCGAAAAAAAAACGGTAAAAATAATGTATATGGGCATACGTGACTAATTATGTTGACGTGGAGACAGTGAATAAAGCCTTTCTGTGCATTGTTTTAGTGTTAAGTAAAATGGTAGAGACTATGAAACAAGAAGAACTTAATCAATAAAGAAAATATAATGCCCTCATTCTAATCATTTGCATCTTGTTATCAGGGAAAAATGAAGATTTGCTTCGTCCTTACCAAGCAGCTGGGGTAGTACTTGGTGCAGCCCCACAACTTCGTTGCTCTATCCTCCTCCTCACAAACGTCATAGACTCCCATTCGCTCGATTCCATTGTAAGTCTGCAGTTGCTATTATACTGGGTACAACACAGCATATACTGTATATGAACTAAAGTATATTTCATTGCCTTACCTACCATTGACATTTTGGTCAAATGTGTAAAATAGACCACTGTAATCAGAAATAGAATTACACACAAAGTTATAAGATAAAGGAAAAAAATAAATATGTATTGAAATATTTAACGATGTAATATATAATTTCACGTTTTGCAAGATTTGGGATTTCATCCTACAAGTTTTTAAAATCTGGGAAATCAATAAGAGTTCAATTATGTTTAAATAATGAGTCCTCAATATTTAGTGTTATAATAGGACTTGGGTCAGCTGGTGACTCCCTGGGGTGTGGCATTGCTCGAGGTGGCAGTGGACGGCCAGGATGCTAACGAGACTCAGGCGCAACTCTCCCGGGTGGTCGACGCGGCTCGGCGGGTAGGTCACTCCCACATTACTACTGAGGCGGTAGGTCACTCCCGCATTACTAGTATGGCAGGTAAGTCACTCGTATTACTACTAAGGCGAGTAGGTCACTCTTATGTTGTGATAGCTGTTTTGGTATCTCACTAATTGTTTTAGTTAAGTTCTGGAACTTAGAAACCTTCCATATCAGGATAGGTTAAAGAAACTTAACTTGCATTCCCTAGAAAGACGAAGAGTGCGGGGAGATATGATAGAAGTATTTAAGTGGGTGAAAGGAATCAATAAAGGCGATATAGATAAAGTTCTTATAATATCCGAGCAGGATAGGACTCGGAGCAACGGATTCAAGTTGGATAAGTTTAGGTTTAGGGTGGTGGACGAGTGGAACAAGCTTAGCAACTTTGTAGTAAGTGCGGGAACTCTGGAAAGTTTCAAAAGGAGGCTAGATAGATTCATGGATGATAGAGAGTGGTAGTAACTCTCGACAGGAGCTGCCATGCACAGGCCAACCGGCCTATTGCAGACTCCTTATTTTCTTATGTTCTTATGTGGCAGGGGTTGATGTAAACACTTCTTGCTGTTTTTCCTTTATTAGTGAAACAAATATATACACAGTTCTGTTCTGAAAGAATAGATTATGAAGTCTCTCCAGGGAAGTGTTGTTACTATACTTTAAGAGAACACTTAAGTTACGTCCTCTTCCCTGATCAAGTGGTAAGGTTTTGCCTTCTCCTCTAGACACGAGAGAGGCGTGGGAGCGAGACAGCTGCTTTGATTAATAAGTTGACCTAAGCTCGACCTCTGAGATAGTTACAAGCTCAGCCGTGTATAATCGTTAACAGGTCGAGTCATTGTTGAATAACATGATGTAATTCATTTGGATGAATACTTATATAAATTAAAGGTACTGTTAAACCGCTAAAACCTCCAACCGAGTCCTCACGGTTTAAATCCTAGGTATACCTAACCATGTTACAATAAAGTGTACTTTAGTTAAACTGTTGCTTCTTGCACATGCTCTTTCAATGCCTTTTGGAAAGTTTTCTTGGAAACTAATGTGTACCTAGAGGACATTTTCCTGTAACATAGTATCATAACGGTAAAGGAAATGACAAATATAATGGCAGGTATAATGAAACCAGGTAGGATTACTCCAGAAGATAAATAAAATGGAAGAGAATCCTATAATGCAAGAAACTGTTTCATTAATGTTAGACAGAAGTTTAAGCTTATTAGAGACAATGTGAAGGCTGCTGAAATTATCATTCAGTAAAAATGGTTTGGGTACCAGTTCAAAAGTAATGTTTGATACAAATGCAAGATGATGGCGAGTAGACAAGGTTGTGATTGCACTACTGCTGAGCTCACAATATTCTGGTGCTATATGATAACCTTCTACTAGTACATGTTTACCTACACCCTGGCATATGAGTATTACACTGGTTTGGTTTGGAAGTCGGTCCTCATAGTTTTCCAATAACATTTTCGTCTAATCGCCCCGGATGCCCAGCTTGGAGTGCGTAAAGGAAGAGGGTGAGGATTTTTTTCCTTTAGTGATATAGGAATAACAATTTGAGAGATTGACTCTTGCTGTGTTTTTACTGAGCGATACAGTATGTCGTGCCGTAGCTCAAGCTGTGAGAGTGATAAAGATAGTTTTGGCAAATTTATCTCATCTCCCGATTCTAAGGCATAGATTACCTTGGACCACAGTGGATCCTGTAGTTGTTCCACCCTTAACTGTGACAGAGTGAACGTAGGTAGTGGCGTGACAGGAGCTATGTGTATGGATAGCGAATCAGCTACCACGTTCGATGAAACCTCTTGTTCCACTCTTTCTTGTATCATTTGTTCATCTGCACCCCTTTTGCTGTGGGGTAGCTGATATGCTGATAAGTAGACCAGGTTTGTGTCCGGCTTGAGTGGAATGTTATGGTTTGTCAACGTTATTTTACCTTGGGGTTCTCCAGGTAATACTATGATTTCCTTGAACTCAGCTAGTAATTCAAAAAGATTATGTTTGCCTTGAGTATGATCGACTACTTTCACGTGTGTGGTACTATTAACGCTACTTTATCTATAAAATGTGGTTTTCATTGGATTCCCCTTGTATCATACTACCTATTGATAATTCTATTGGTTCCCCGATGATTGCTTTGTCGTAAACGAGGAAATTACCCAAACAACATCCCTTTCTTACAGTTATAGGTCCCCCAGTTCTATTGAGAACAAGGACATCTGTGAGACTACCTGAACTGACTGTGCTTAAGGTAGACTCAAGTGATAAGTCTTTCACTCGTGAACTTTCACTCAGACACACAACATCTGTTCCTTCACTCACATTTGGCAATAGTACAGTCATTCTAGTTAGTTCCTGGCTATGTCACCATTGTACACCAGTTAACACAGCAGACGTTAAAATCCAGTTCGTGCCTCTTTCATCAGAAAGGTCCTTTGAGCTACTAGGTGTAGTTTAAGGGAGTGACTCTGTAACTAACTGCTTGTGTGTGATAGACTCCCCTGCGCCAGTCGAGGCAATTATTACACGAACACCCGAGGTAAGCAATGGATGTGAAGTTTGTATTCCGTAGTAATGCAAACAGTCATGCATTGTGGTGTGATTTCTTCGCTGAACATTAATGATGGTCTGATTTAGTGTGGAAAGATCGATTAACCCGTCCTCTGACAGAGAGAATGCCTTGATTCTGTAGAAATCCGCCAGAAAAACGGATTAGCAGTGTTTTCACCCCCGCTATGTCTAATTGGATTCCTGACACACCGGACAGAGGAATGTCTGTAGGTCTTATTAGGCACTTATTAGGAGGATATCGTCGCTTGAGTTCATTGAATGACGCTAATGAGTTAACACTGGCACATGTTCCCGTATCTATGCCTACGGACAACTAATTGTTATCTATCCTCGCTAGTACAGTCAACACTTTGTTTAACGTAGCGATTAATGAGCCGGTGACGGAAGCGTTGTTTTCTTGCACCATTGACACTATCCAAGATCGTGTTGCTGGACGCGCGTATCTTCCCCGGAGAGGCTGTTTACTTGTCTCTCGTCGGTTTGCTAGCTCTTGCTTCAGGTGCTGTAGGTTCTTGCAATCTTTTATATTGTGGTATGGAGACTCATGTACTGTAGTACACACCATTTATTCAGAGTGCCTCTAGTGTTTGTAGTGCCCTCTTAGACTTTGTGGTTTTGTAAGACTCTCTAGATTTTTAATGTCCACGGAGAATCCTTTCCCTTGATCTTGCCACGAGCTAGATGGATTTTTGTCCATTTTTCCTCCAAACCAACAACTTTCTGTGGTATGTCCCTTACGTTTGCAGATTTTGCAAAAAGGTGCCTTTTGGGGTTTGGTTTCGGTAGTAGTTTGTAGTTGATCCTTTTAACTGGTTACAGATAATATTGACAGAGCCCGAGGAGTAGTTTCCACTGGTTCAGAAATATCCTCCACGTAGTCTCCAAGCTAATTTATATTCTTTCTTTCTGGCTGCCTTGCGTGTAGGTTTATGTAGTACCATGATAAACTGTAGGAACTCAATAATTTTGTAGAAATTTTCTTTAGATAATTTTTCATCATCACCAAACCAATTTAAGGATGACATGTAAGTTTTGAGATCCATCTTAGTATGTTCGGCTATAGCCTGTGCTTCTTATGCGTCGCATGCATACACAGTGTTACTTGTACCCTATGCCATCTTGAAAATCCAAGTAACCGCACCTCCTTTCGTTGTAACAGCACCATTTGTATTATATAAATATTTACCCATATGTATAATACCAAAATATTCACCAGGTCACTCACCAATGTGTATGAATGAAATGGTGAGTTGACATTTCCTCCGAGGAGTGAGTGAGGTCAAGCTGGGTCAACGCATCTCAGCAACAACACATCTGACACGTTTCCTTTCAAGGCCTGCTTGTCCACCCTCTCTCCCTGGTGTAAGAGACTCTCATATCACTTGTTACCCAGTGAACACCTCACTTAAGTGTTCTCCTGAAGTGCACTAGTGCACTAAGACACTTCCATTAGTATAGAGGGTATAAAATAATTTCAACTGAACTCAGTACCTGTGAAACTATATTTTCTACAATAAAAGAAAACCAACAAAGTGTTTACTTCAGCCCTGCCACTTATCAATTTAAGAACTAATATACATATATATATATATATATATATATATATATATATATATATATATATATATATATATATATATATATATATATATATATATATATATATCTTGATAAAATCCTGCGGAAAAGAGGAAACTAGCGGATCACCTTAAAAAGCACCATCTTTATTCAAGACGTCTTCAGAGGCCTCTGAAGATGTCTTGTAAAGAAAGAAAACTAGGTATACGTCTTCCTCCCGTCAACAATTTTATCAATTTATCTTATCCCGCGTTCATTGGATCTACATGAAATATATATATATATATATATATATATATATATATATATATATATATATATATATATATATATATATATATATATATATATATATATATATATATATATATATATATATATATATTATTAATGACCACACTGGTGTAGCGGTGGGATGGATTAGAAGAAGAATGGGTCAGTACTCAGAAACAAACATTACTTCAATTGATTCTAGTGAGTTAAGTGGCATCTAAGTGAATCAACAGCAAACAACAATTACAAGAAATTTAAGTGGACAGTGGCTATAAACACTTGCAGAACATTATGCATGAACACGAAGTAGTAACAAAACAATAGAGATTGCCAACTTAGCAGTCAAAGCCCTCAGTGACACACATACTACTGAAGGTTGACGAACCGAGAGCAGCCGAAACCTACCTACCAAGCTAACACTACATCACCGGGTTTGAGGAAGGTTGTCAAGGGTTCGAACAATCAAACAATCTCTTTGGCTTAAACAATCAAGACTCATAGGTGTGCAACAGAGGGACGGCCCAGATCAGCCCCAGGCTGACGCCCATAAAGACAGATCAGCCCCAGGCTGACGGCCGCAGACAGATCAGCCCGAGCTGACTGCTGCATAAACCAGATCAGCTTCCAGGTGCATCTCAGTAGGCGTGGCGTCATCCTCCTGGGAAGGGCGTCATGGGCTCACTGGCTGATATAGCCAGCGAGAGGT